TTCCTTAGAATGGCTATATTTTGTTTTTTTGGTATTTATATCATTCCAGATTTTACCATAAAACTATAGTTTCGATTTCCCCAACAGGTCCAAATTATAAATAATAAGAAAATCGATGCAAGACAACAGATTAAAATATTTCGTTTCATTTGAAACAAATAGCCATTCCGGATTTTATCAGAAACCTTTAACGTGTCCGATTCCAATTGTGTACAATATTTTTCCACAAACGTGAATCTAGTCAACTGTCTTCTCTTGTCAAAGTAAACTATATATCATCCCAGTCAGTGAAAGCAAATAGTTCCCAAGCGAATAAACAAGGCGCTTTATAGATTTTAATTTTGGAAAATAAGATTGACTTACACTTAATCACAGAGACCTGGGCAAAGGATAGCATAGACCCGACAATTGGTCAACTCCTTCATAGTTTATCTGGATTCAAATTTCTACACCAACCGCGAAAGTTTCGCAAAGGGGGTGGCGTTGCACATTTAGTTCCTGCATCACATGAGAGGTGTATGAACTTCAAGTCATTCCAGTATTTAGAAGTGGCCATCAAATCCAAGAGTCAGTTTTTAATATTGTTGTCATTTATCGCCTACTTTACTAAAAATCAATGTACTGTGGACATATCCATATCTGAAGTTAGATCACTCTTACAAGGGTCAATCTCACAGTACCTTCTTGTTGGCGGTGATTTCAATTTTCACTGTGAATCGTCATCCCAAGACATGCTGAAGTTGATGGACATGGTCGCATCGCTTGAATTCAGATAACATGGACGTGAGATCGACTAACAACTCCTCTCTATTGGGAAGACTATTTACAATGGCTTGATTGATACCACTAGAACCGAATATCACCGGAATCAGATTACATCAGCCGACTCCAAGGAGAAAAGTGCAATGAATAATGTTATTCCTGAATCAGCATCATCTGAAATTGAGGCTGCAGAACTTTTGTCGAACGTCTCTATTGAGAAAATTGACAACTTATGTGCCAGGTTTGATTCTGCTGAACCAAACCAACACCAAGAAGACCAATGTTTATCCAAACCGCATACCTTCAGACCATCTACAGTGGCAGAAGTCAAGAAATTGATACTGGAAGCTCCATCCAAATCTTGTAGACTTGGCCCCATGCCTACTGAACTGGTAGAAAAGTGTGTTATGTGGACAATCTAACATCGTTCATCACGGATCTAGTTAATGAATCATTGGAATCTGGGATAGTCCCCGATTCTTTTAAAACTGTTCATGTTAGGCCTTACAGACCGGTCTCTAATCTACGATTTGTATAGTTGCGAAACAGCTCTGTTGCGTGTACATAATGACATCGTTACTGCTCTAGATTCAAGTAAACATATTATTCTATCGATGCTGAGCGCTGCCAACGACAAAATCCAATTTGTACAGTTTTAAACTGGTTCAGATCATATCTTAGTGATAGGAGTCAGTCTGTTGTTATTGGTAATGGTAGTATTTCTTCCAAGGGTTCTTCCTGGTGTGCCACGGGGCACTGGTTTAGGCCCAGTTTTGTTCACGCTATACACCTCTCCTATAGAGGACATTAGTATTAAGCATGGTCTAGAATGTATGATATATGCCAACGAGAGTCAAATTTATCTCACATGCAGTGAACCAGTTGATGAAGTTGCTAATTAAGCTTGTTTAGACGAGTTACAATTATGGTTATATGAAAAATAAGAATATTGAAGCACTGTGATAAATCTTGGTGTCATGTTCCACTCAGACTGTTCTCTTGAGATATTTGTAAAACAAACTTGTCGGAGTACCTCGTACGCATTGTTCAAGATTGGTAGAATTGTGCGAATCCTTGATCAGGAATGTACAGAGAAATTAATTCACGCAATGATAACATCCAGATTATACTATAATCTTCGCGATGCTGAACTTAAAAAGCAACTGAGCTCATAAAACTCTGCAGCACGAATGGTGACAGATTGTAGAAAATTCGAACCAATTACTCCTATGCTACACCATCTGCTTTAGTTACCCGTCGCGGAACGTGTTTAGTTTAAAGTATTGCTGACAATCTGTAAAATCATCTACGGTATAGCCCCGGTCTATCTTATCGAACTTTTGGATATTAGCTTACTTCATCACATGGTTGCTCCAAGCGAAATGCGAACAATAAATTTTATGGATCAAGAATTTTTGCCCAACACGCTCGACAACTATGGAATAAATTACCACGAAACCTACGATCTGAATCAAACCTAGACTCTTTTAAACGCAGCATTAGAACACTTCTTTACAAACGTCATGTTACTAACTAATATTGTTCTTCGATTGTGATATGACTTTAATCGTTATGGTGTATTTTCTAAAACTTACTGTTTTATTTTTACCTATATGTTTTTATACATAGACATGTGTATTTTTTTTTTATATATTGTTATATCTCCGTTGAATACATTAAGTATTTTTAATTTTGAAATAAATATTATTATTATTATTACTTACCCTTAAACTTGACGGCCATCTATTTTCACCGACCCTTCCTGAAGCCTTAGATTCTGAGGAATCTCTGTAACCAATTTAGGTGTTTTAATCTGCTTCACTCGGATTTAATGTGGCTTTTAAAGGAGCCTCTGAAATCTGGGAAAACCGCATGCAATTGACAACATTTGAGAGACTGATCATCGCATTAAGATGCTCATGATTTACTATCCAGATCTAATATGATCTTGTTTTGGATCAATACGCCATGAGTTATTAACTGATTAATATCCGGTATATTTATTTATGAATTCCGATGATGGGTTCATTTGTACCATTTTTGAAACATCGTCATGATTGAAAAATACAAGTATTTCAAATATAACATTCGCCTTTGTTTTTATTCACAGTTATAAAATGTCCAGAGCCTCAGTATATAGATAATAGTTTTATGAATAAAGAGACTAATGAATATAATACCTGGGTGATATACACGTGTTTTCCTGGTTATTATAAAACATTAGGAAATCTAGAGAGGAGGTGTACTGCTGGCGCTATATGGAGTGGTGAACAACCTTATTGTGCTGGTGAGTTTTTAGCTACCCTCTTGTTTTGAGAGAGGGATTGCGTTCAAACAACATGGCACACATTGTAACCGTTTTGTTTATTACCCGTAAATTAACTGATATGAGAATTTCGTTATGATATTTATAGCTCTTTTAAAAAAAATTTTCTTTAGAGTGGTTTTAGATCAATAGAAGATTTTTCAACGGAAAAAAAACAGACGGTTTCGCACCAACACTTTATCATCTCCCAATTTTATTGAAACTTATGGCAAAATTCCGCATACACCATGACAAAAAGAGCTAATGACAATATTAAGAATACTGAATCTTTTGATTCGATATTTCATCAGAAAGTTATTGGATTCTTGACATGAATACTTTCAGTCTGTTAAGAATGCAACTCAAGATGGATCATTACTTCATTTGGATTGTTTTTATCTTGTTATCTTTAATACACTGTGACCACTTTATGATAATACTGTCGCAACGGCGATTTATATCAAATGTTATTGCGACGTTGATGATTTTTTTTTTTTAGAATAACAAGACTCTGAAACATCGGACAGATGCAAATAGAAGGTATAGGTGTTTCCAATACACGTAAATAAACAAATATTCTACTGAATATCCGAATAAACATATTGATCTGATTGGCTGTCTTTTATTACTTCAGAAATATATTGTCCATTTCCCAAGAAACCATTGAGGTCGACACCACAATTTACATCATTAAAATGGAAAGGTACTTTATCATATACTTGTGATTATGGTACGTCTTTAGCTAGCGGTAACCTCACACGACATTGTTCAGATGACGCTACCTGGGATGGTGAAGAGCCAGTTTGTGAAGGTATGATAAGTATTAAAGAAACTTGCATAAAAATGATCTTCATTTACACACTCTTTCAGGTTTCAACACAATTCTTAGAGCTAACAGACTGATGTTCGTGTTATTTAATTCGATTGTTTGAGAATTTAGTTCTCGACTGGTATTAGTAAGATTCTGTCTTGAATCTGTACAGGTGGAATTCTTAATGTTCAGACTGGCAATGGATTGGTAATAGCACGAAGATCTTCTTAATCTAGACAAACTCAAATATCAGCATTGATCCATTTTAGACCAAGCTTTTATACATATTTGGCCCTGTGTTGTACAGTTGACAAAATCTATTTTGTGAAACGCAATCTCAGATGTTTTTATCGTTCGGTATGATTTAATTTGGCTGTTGCTGAAGAGCTTCCTTTCACGAGGAGTTATTTTGCTTTTAATATTTTCAGAAATTCGATGCGGCACTCCACCAGAAGTATCCAACGCCACAACAAACCACGAGGAACCAATATCAAATTATGGAACTATCATTTATTATTCTTGTGATCATGGTTACCTCAATTCTGGAGGTAAAATCTATTCTGAATGTGGACGAGAAGGTGATTGGTCTGAAGTAGATCTAGATTGCGTTGGTAAGTTATAATATTTACGTATTTATTGTAAGCAGTGAGTGAGTAAGACGCCTGCTCGCTGACCTTAAGATTCAGGGTTCAGTCCCGGAAAATGTCGACACGATACGTGGGGATTTTTCCTCAGATTTATCCCTGTCAGTGATACAGGTCGATGTATCTGACATAGTAAAAAGGGTCTAGTGTGATGTGAAAGGGTTTCAGCCTGGGGTTTCCCACATAAAAAGTCCAAATTCGCTTCACAAACTTTAATAATCAAACATCAGATTTTCGTAAAAACACGCACTTTTTCTCAATACACAATATCCCTCTAGGGAACAATTGACAATTGCCTAAGCAGGCGTGATTATCCAGTTACAAATGGAAATGGGAGGGTCTAATACTTCAAATGGAACATAACACTAGTCGTTCGGATGAGACAATTAACTGAGGCACTGTGTGCTACATGGTGTACACGTTTAAGACAGTTGGAAATCGAAAAAGAGCAGGCTAATGCCGCTGTCTTGGCAAAATTTTCCTCATTACACACTGCATGCTGTTGTCCGTTTCCATTAGTCCAATTAGGTACAGATGAGTAGGACTTAAAATCCCATTCATTTCATTTCATTTGAAATATCTATATAATAATCTGAAAGAAGAGTTAAAACGAAAATGAAAAAACAATGATTAATCCTTCTTTTAAACTTTAAACGGAATATTTTACAAGAATAATTGATATATTTATCTGAAGAAAAGGATTTTTAATAAAACAATTCATACTGTTTTGAAACTGGCGTATACTCCCCCTGAATCTTTAAAAACTACATACGATATAGCAATGTCTTTAATATTCCATTTATACAATGGTTCATCTGATACCTACGAAAGCCGGGTCAGGACTTCCAACTTCCGATTTTCAAGTTTTTTTTTCACTTCCGACTTCCAAGTTTTTTTTTCACTTCCGACTTCCATGTTTTTTTCACTTCGGGAGTTATTGCCCTTTGATGACTATTTCGTAGATAAAGGGAACATTCTCTTCATTATCACAATACTGGTAAATTGCCAATAAAACGGCACTTTAATCAATTTTCATGTAAGTTTGGATGGTGATATTGATATCCTGTCTTTCATCAAAAGAAACATGCAGGATCAACATCTACCAACTGCCGTAACATATCTCTCTACCTCAGCCTCAAGCCAGTGGCAGACTGGTGTTAAGAAATGTTTATGTTATAGTCCCATAAAAAGATTTACAGCAAAAGAACTTTTATTTACTGTTCAGTGAGCATTTGTTTGTATTTTGTGTTTTATTATTATTCATGTTAGATTGATGCCAACCCATAATTCCAACTGGAAAAAATCAAAAAAGTCAAATGATGCTCAAATCAAAGCAGTGCTATTGTTTTAAAATTGTTCAACACGTAGATTTTCTCTCGAGATTTTCGACATACTTATAATTTCATTTGTTTAAATTAAACTTTTTTGTTTCTTTCAAATATATTGCTTTATATTACGCATTATTTCTACATAAAACGAGACAGCCTGGTCGGTATTTCTGGGTAAATGTATGTATGTAAGTAATAATTTGACCAGTTCCAGAAAGTCACCAGAGCATCCGAATCGATCATGTTGTGCACATTGGTTGTGGCAGGCTATTACGTCTTCAAGATCAATTTGTACACCATAGTTATGGTACCATTTACTTCTGGGTTGTAGAATATAAAATCAGGTTTTCCACTGTCACCTTCAGCATTCCTTTTAGTATTTATTACGTGTAAATTCCACTGGGTGGCAAGCATGTGTATTTCTGCTTGCAGTAAATGCTTAAAGCAAAACCGTAGACATGCTGTGTGTAAGAAATGATCCTCATGCATGATTCCAGAATCTCACACGTCTTTGAAGAAGGCTATCCACAAGCCTGTGCCTTGTTTTCTTAAGATAGACCACCAGGCCTCAATTCATTGATATGCTGTAACTTTACCTTGGCGGAAACATCTGATGCCAGACAATTCATCGTCTTATTTCTCCTAAAAAATGGTCGCAGGCACCTTATTAGGGAGTTTTCTGTACCCGGATCGCATCTAACAACCCTTGGAACATAACCTATTTCTTTGACACACGCTAGGTAGTAAGACGCTACTACTGCAGGGTCGTTGTTGGTGTAACTAACTTCAAGCCAGAGGACTTTCCGGCTATAACTATAGCTCTATAGCAAATCCGAAAGGTTTTAACTTATCATATCCATCGATATGCCATGATATAAAGTTAGGACGAGTTGACGAGTATTGTCTTCTAATTAAATGATGAGCGTTTCTCCTTTCAATTCCTGAAGGATCCAACAGGCGAAGAATGTCAAGAATAGTATCTCTCTTAGCAGTTAACCCGTGGATTCAGGTTATTTTTCTCCACATACATTTGTATCCGAGAGAACTTCCACTCCCATTCAATTCTTTCTTCACGGCGTGGACAACATCTTTTAAAGGACTGGCTTCACAAATATAAGTTCTAAGTATCCGCATCAGGTGTTTCACGCTTAATTGTATACCGTGGTGAAGTAAAAGCGTTTTTGAAATTTCTTGATAGGAAAAGTTCTTTGTAAAATATACACCAATGAGCTCCTCTCTGGAAAGACTTTCTAGTTGTATAGGGATATTACTTGGCAAGGTCTCCTAGAGAACGTAAAGTTATACCTAGAGAAAAAGGATACAAAGACATCAAATAATATTGTACACGATTGTAATGATATGATAAGCATAATCACAGCATGATAGCTTTAAGTGAGAAATTAGACCCTCTATTGTTCGTTTGCCAGCAGCCCAACAAATCCGAAAAGAGTAAGCATGTTCTGTTTCGCACGCGACACCCGCCACTACTCTAAAGGTCAAAATCATGAGTTCATGCCTGACTAAACAAATCTGCCAAAATGCAAGAAGCAGATTTGTCATATTTGACAAGTTCTCCGTAACGACCATAAAATTTTCTACAAGAAATTTCAAGTTTTTGTGTCAAGTAACCCTGTTTCAGTAATTTCACGGTTAATATTCGACCTCTTGCCAGAAAGTCCTTATAAAGAGAACAAGCTCTAGCATAGCGGACCAGTTGTGAAACTCTGTTATCCTCTGTTGAATCATACCTTAATTTGAACGTGTCTTAGGACTCTAGATATAAATTAAACCAAATTTTATTGAGATCAGATGACAACTGTGACTTCTATCAATTAACATAATATCCGTGTATTAAGGGTTGAAACTCCTCATCTTTTGTCAAAAAATTGAACTGTTAATTGTGCCGACAATATATGTCCCAATTATAAAGTGGGCTTTATATAAAAAAGAAATCAAAACATTAGATATGATCACAAAAGCGTACGCTTTATTACCAGCTCGCTGGCGGAAAAAACTTGGAAATCGGAAGTCGGAAGTGAAAAAAAAAACTTTGAAGTCGGAAGTTGGAAGTCTTTCGTAGATACCCATATAAAAGAAGATATTTTATAATTAAACGGGAGTGCCTATCAAAGATTTCTAAAAAACCTTTTCATCAGCAATACCGTGAAGTCAATTTTGTTTTTTCCAATAACATAAGTCCAGTTGTTGTAGTCCCTACCTTAGATGAAAAGCGTCAGATCTAAAGCTTTTATTAATTATTACAGGTGTTTATTGTGGTAAAGCACCGTTATTTATTGGCGCTAAAAACAACGCGTCTGGTGAGATGTACATGGATATAGCAGTATATGAATGTTTTATACAATTAGATGACCATATTGAAACCTGGATTAAAACATGTAACCAATATGGTGTTTGGGTGGGCAAGGAACCCGAATGTACAGGTAAGTAGGGAGGAAAAATCCACATTATACGCCTACTTGAAATATGGAGGTATGTTGCTGTCGCTCTATCCGATTTTCATCTATCTAGGTGATTTTAACCATTTAGTTCTATGGGAGCTTGATTTTCTCCCGATTTGTATGGAACTGGGGTGTGTTTATTTTTCAAGGTTAGTTTGAAATTGACTATTTTGATGTATATAAGACATAGTTACACAATATGACGAGTTATTTATTGTGAATTGCATGATAGTATATAAGTTTTCATTATGTAGATTTTCTCTTGAGCAGTCTGGAAGTATTTTTACCTTATCAAAAGCGACCTTAGGTGTAAAAGCGTGAGAATCATAATCCTTGAACTAAACCTTACGATGTGATATTAATTACAGATGGATGGTATGATAAGAAGTTTGAACCAGAGCCAGTAGAGGCACCAGGATCTGTTGGAATTGGTATTACTGTATTCGCCATATTTGTTACACTGATCATTTGTATCATCATATTGGATGTAGCTACACTGAAACCACATTTCGTCTATCTGAGACGAAACCTTAAGGATTTCAGAAAGACTGTAAGGAAGCAGTATAGAATCCTGAAAGCTCATCCTAAATTCATTGACTTTACGTATAAAATTAGAATGAAGAAATGGGATGAGAAGAGATTGACTCAAATCCGTCCAGAATCTTCTCCGCCTAGTGTTCTTGGTGAGGTCACAGACTGAATTCATCTGTTAATTTATGACTTGTATATTTATTACGGCATTTTGATCAGGTATTGATGTTTCAAATTTCATTTTGCATTTCAGTTTTATTAGATACTTATTATGTTATAATTATAAATACAAAATAATCAAATTATATTTTCCTATGTTGCCTTTTCGTGAGAGATGTCTCTGTAATAAACCGTATAGTAACAACAGCTCAAGTAGCTCACTGATTTGCTAAGGATACAGCTCTAGTAAGGTTCTAAGGAAGGTAGATCATAATAAGTAAAATTGACGTTTTGCTCACTTAATCGACGTCTTAACCTCTAAATCTTTCCTTGATTTGATGAACACCAAACAAAGCATATGCTTGTAGAGTTTAGTTTTATTTCGATATCAAGCTCTGATTTCTATCACTACCACCTGCAATCTACTACAAGTATGGTTAACTTCAAACCTTTCCTTCAGTTATAAACCAAACATGTGTTTACTACATAAAAAAACAACATCTGACCTCTTTGAACTCGTTTATTGAGAAATTATTACGATTGAAGTTTAATTTTCAACATATAAATCATTTGTATGATTGTAAAACCTTTGCAAAGCTGAACACCTGATTTGAAATATAAATTACCCAAGACGTTCACAAGATTAGGTTGGTGCAGTTGATAAAGTATGTTAATGGTGTTACGTCATGTAAATCATTGATGCTACAACATAGAAGTAATTGGACTAAACAACAGAATAATATATTGCGTTTCATTGCTCGTTTAATACAGTTTCGCCCTTCTTGTGCCCCTTCTGTTCTTGTTCACGTTTGGCAGCATTACCAAATAACACCAAAGCCAAGTACATAACAAATTTAACAGTTACTGTGACAAGCATTAATAACATGAGTGAGCTTGGCCCATCAGAATCAAACAACTTACCACCCAGATAAGGAAAAATGATTTCTCCTATACCCGAAGCTACTAGACAAGACGATATTGCACAACCAGTGACGGGGAGGTGTTGATCGCTCCACGCTAACACCCCGGGTAGAAATACAGCCGAGAACATACCAAGAGTTACTGATCCTATCCATAGAAAAGTTGCGTCTTTTTCTGCAGCTAAATACAAAAATACAACAGCTACAAGCTGTCCTACACAATTTATCATAAGAATGATAAAAATTCCTATTAATTTTGACAAAATTAAATTGACTATACGACCCACCACAAAGGCTCCCCAAAATATTGACGTCATGGTCGCCATTGTTTGTTTTGACAATTCGAGTTTGCTCATGACCCCAAAGGGAAGCAATAGATCACCATATGCTAATAAATATCCAAACACCGGAATATGGTATAATATGAGCAAAACAAGAAACACCATTGATATTGGCGTCAGATTTCCATACGGTCCATCGCTATCAAACGCTTTATAATGTATTTTTTCACTTCTGTTTTGATAGTAGTAGTATATAAAGGCTATTGCTGGAGGTAGTGTTACAGATCCGAGAATTAAATACGCGTAATGGACCTGGATATCAGCTGCAGTCAATTGGTCAACTTCAGTAATATTCATTGTACTGTTGACACAGACTGGAGTGGCCGCAACACAACTGTGAGCTTGCTCTTTTTCTGATAAAAAAGGCTTCGCTACAAACGGTGCTACAAACGATCCAATGGCAGCTGATAAAGACACAAACTGGAAAGCAATTCCTTTATCCTCTTCCCAAATTAGTCTACATATTGCTAATATCGCTGAAAATAATAAAAGAAGATATAAACCGCACCTTTCGAATATAAATTGCAACCATTTAAATTTTTATTTACAACCCTTGGAATCTTATTGGCAACCAATGAAATCTTATGGCAACCGATGAAATCTTATGGCAACCAATGAAATCTTATTGGCAACCAATGGAATCTAACTGGCAACCTCGGGAATCTTATTAGCAACCCTTTGGATCTTATTTGCATCCATAGGAATCTTAATGGTGACCATTAGAATCTAATTTGCAGCAATCAGAATCTAATTTGCGATTTGGGATCTAATTGGCATTACTTGACATCAAAGTACGACCGGTTTTAAAATACCATCCTGAATCTAACTATGGACATACACGACTCCAGGTTCTGTCAACAAAGAATAAGGAGATATTTTTAACTTCGAATTGTTGAATTAAACAAGGGGGAAATAATGAACTATTGAGAGCACCTACCATAATCGACGAATCCTTTTAATACGCCCTGCAGTAAAGACATCATAATCAAAAAGGTAAAACTTGCAGTGATTGGTAAAACTATGTTTACAACACTTCCCAATAATAGAGATATCGCCAAAAATAATCTCATGTTAATGTACGATTGTACTAAAACTGACAGAAGACAACCAATAATAAATCCAACACCCTGTACAATAAATAGATCTGTTATTGTCGCCATGTCTACATCGACCATTACTTGTAGATCTAGCAGTACAGGTCCTAAAATACCATTGTCTATACCCTGAAATGATGAGAAAGTATAAGATCAACTTCATCTCACAATGTCAAACTATTAGAAACCTCGTCTTATACCTTGACTTCAATAACCACCTTTCTATAAGTAATACAACAATTTAAGTGGATTGTACGCCAGCAAATAAAACTTATCAGAGCCCTCGACGTAAAAACTGTAAAAGTTATGGCTTATTGTTAACCAAATTTTACGTCGAGGACTTTGATTGGCTGCATTCGATAGAATACAATCTAATGAAATTTACAAACGTCTTTCATTCAAGATAGGTGACTATTAGTCAAGATATAAGACCAAGTTTGTAATAGATGCGTTATGAAGATGCGCTCAGTTGTTACTTTAAGTTATGACAAAGTGGTTTATTTATCCATGTGCATTGCATAAATTGCATACTCGGGGTACAAATTCGGGGTACAAATAAGAGACTCTATCGCTTTCATTGATCGATCGTGATATATTTATGTTATGTCAGACATATTTTTGTCACTCGGAATATGTTTATGTCATTAGAGCTATAGTAATGTTATTCGTGATGTATTCATGCCAGTCGGGATATATTTTTATGACTCGAGATACATTTATATATTTACGTCAAGCAGTCTACTTTCATGTCACCGTAGAATATTTATGTCATTCAAAATATATTTATATCAGTCCAGAAAGTACGGAAGCGTACGGAAGCATATAAGGGCCATTCATTTTTTTTGTTTTGAATTTTTAAGTTAGTATGTTTCAGTTTCAAGTTAGTATGTTGAATTTTCAAGTTAGTAACTCGAATTTTCAAGTTAGTAACTCGAATTTTCAAGTTAGTATCTTGAATTTTCAAGTTAGTATGTTGAAATTTCAAGCTAGTATGTTGAATTTATTAAGTTGAATTTTCAAGTTAGTATGTTGAATTTTCAAGTTAGTAATCTTGAATTTAGTAACTTGAAAATTCAACATACAAACTTGAAAATTCAACATACTAACTTGAAAATTCAACATACTAACTTGAAAATTCAACATACTAGCTTGAAAATTCAACATACTAGCTTGAAAATTCAAGATAATAACTTGAAAATTCAACATACTAACTTGAAAATTCAACATACTAACTTGAAAATTCAAGTTACTAAATTCAACATACTAACTTGAAAATTCAACATACTAACTTGAAAATTCAACATACTAGCTTGAAAATTCAAGATACTAACTTGAAAATTCAAGATACTAACTTGAAAATTCAAGTTACCAACTTGAAAATTCAAGTTACCAATTTGAAAATTCAACATACTAACTTGAAAATTCAACATACTAACTTGAACATACTAACTTGAAAATTCAACATACTAGCTTGAAAATTCAACATACTAGCTTGAATATTCAAGATACTAACTTGAAAATTCAAGATACTAACTTGAAAATTCAACATACTAACTTAAAAATTCAACATACTAACTTGAAAATTCAACATACTAACTTGAAAATTCAACATACTCACTTAAAAAATGAAAAAAAAAAAATGAATGGCTCTAATACGCTTCCGTAAGAAAGTAAGTCATCATTCTGTGTATTTTTTTTTTTATATCAGTCCAGAAAGTAAGTCCTCTATGTAATCTTTTTTTATATCAGTCCAGAAAGTAAGTCATCTGTGTATTTTTTTTATATCAGTCCAGAAAGTAAGTCATCCGACATACACTGGAACCGCAAAAAATGTCGGATTAGCGAAAGTGTCAGAGTACTCAACATTTTTTAACATGTGCCACGTGTTACTATTTATAGCTCAGTGACCCACATTCTACAGACGGCACATTTCTAATAATAAGACAATAATAAAAGACAATTCAGTTGTATTTGTTACTATTATTTAATTGTTCATCAATCGGGACCAGAAAATGATGTCGGATTACGCAAAATGTCGGAATACTCAGATGTCGAATATCACAGAAGAACACTGTAGTTTTCGATTTTAATAATGTAATAACTTACAATTATAACAAAACCATAAAAAAGCCATGCTGTCTCAAACAGCTTTGATTTGTCTTTAATATCAACCATTCTTAGTTTTCTACAAAGATAAAAACGAAAATTTAAAATGAGAGATGATAAATGCGATACATATGGAAGATCACTTTTAAAAGGTAAAAGTTTCATTATAAAAAACGATGTGACCTAACTTTTTCAACATACTTAAAAAAATCAGACTCCCCCTTTAAAGTAGAATTGTTTGCAATAATACTGCATATGAATAACCAATTTTTAACTTTAACAACAGGTGAACCATGTACATAGAATATCTTGGCGGATACATTGAGTTCAAAATAGGACTTTGAGGTACAATTTTTGGATGGTAGTGGCCTTATTTCAGATTAATAAAGCGGGTTGAGATGAATTCAAGTCAAAAAAATTTCACACGGCATGCCCCAACATAAAAAGTCACAGCTGTACAAATTTTGTTTGCTCAATGACACGTACCTTCGGAGTGTCAATGATTAAAGTCTACTGACGTGTAAGGATTAATGTGACATAGGAATAATCATAAAGGATATTTAAAAATATTGACGCTTCAATTACCGGAATATTTTATTTTATTTCAAACATAACATAAAAGCTATTATAGAAAGGTCATGAGAGAAGTTACTAATGCTAGAATTCAATGAATATTTTATAATAATAACGCTTATTATTAAAATTGACATTAAATAATTATTGCCACATATTGATTCAATTTGTTTACTGGTTGACATTTACAATGTACATATACTTTTTGTACAATGTCAGGTCAGCCTACCCATGTATTGTGGTACCTTGTGGGCACAGGAACATTTTAGACTATCCAGTAATGTTGCGACTCATTCATAGTTTTGTATAGATACCAAAATTTGTGTCACATTTGGCTTTTGTTATGGCGAAAATTCTCACGAATTAGCTGTCTATATCACATTCATATTACATTTGATTTGTTTTAAATCAACATATTTATAAATATCACTATTAGAAATATAGAAATATTATCACAGAACCTGAAACATGTTGTTTGTTATTCAGAGTTTCAAGTTGATTGGATTTGAAATTGAGACTCGTCTCAATACACCCTAACACTAGTCAAAATTCAGTAGGTCGAAGACTAAAATAGTTCAGTTGTCTGGAGATCGCACAGTGTGCATACTGCTTTACAATTAATGTATTGAATACTATTTTTAACAGAAAAAAATATTTTGTTATCAAAATATCCATTAAAAAATATTACAGCGTGTATATCACTCTTCAATTGATGTGTGACAATAGAGATTTTTTATTAACACAATTCTAATATTAAATATGACAAAGAAAATCTAAAGCATACATTGATACAATCATGAGCTGATGAAAAGGCATCAGGCGGTATATTACTAACCGATTGATATGGACAATCTGATGGAAAGTGAATTATTATGTTTAGATGAGTGAATCATACAGCCCCCCCCCCCCTCCAAACCGGGCATTTCTGTTGGTATCTCGGCCATGAGGGGTTTCATTGTAGCTGCATCTCCCTTTCAAGGATACAATAATGTTGTCTATGTAGCTGTCGTATTAATAGTAATTAATTTGTTATGTGCTTGCTGAGCTGATGAAGCTCAAGTTTGACTATCTGTATCACATTAAGATTATAAATTCAACACTCGGATCGTCTCCAACCAAAATAGTATGAACTGAAATGGCAACATGAAAATCAGGTCGTTTTTAACATTTCTTTTTCATGCAGAAATTCAACTTAATCAGCTAATCTATTTCACTTCGTTATTTAAAGAAGAAATCGAACCAGCTGATAACCTTCCCTGGTCTCCAGAAACAACTAGACGTCCACTGTAATTAATTTTATCTAAGAAATTTCGTCATTGTTTGACCGTGAACTTAAGTTTATCCTAACACCTAAATTTTCCAATCTTGATTATCTTCAATTATTAATAATCAATAATTGATTAACGAAATCTTAGTTGTACACTCAACATCTATCCTTCCAGAAATACTATAAAAATTGCAAGAATGACCACCCAAAGTTCTAAGCTATACCGATCATGCACTAGAGGCTTAATCTCAAACTGCAAGTGCGTGAATCCCTAAATTCACGATCAAAAATAGTGATAAAGGCGTCTCACTAGAGAGGCTTACTTTTCAGATTCAGAGAATCGAATAAATAATTCTGAGCATTGCGACATTTTGAAAAGACAATTTTTAAAGAAACTGCTTCTATGTTCAAGACAATGGGCTTTCCTATTTTGATGAAAAAGTTCATTTTCTGGACGATCAATTACTATTCGCTCAATGTGGGTTATGATATGATAAATGGTCGTCCAAGTTGAAATGATTAGAAACAGGCTTGTTCTGTAATTTGATATCTGATCTATGGGCAGTAAAACGAGAACGTAAATTATTTTTAATTTCTCTGACATATTGTTTTCACATGTGAAATTCTCCTGGATCGGTTACCTTTTCTTCGTAGAGTTACATATACAATAATTAGTTTCTGGTATAAAGGGATACGTCTTGTATCAATTTAACAAGCATGGGACACTCCTTAAGCCTGGAAACGATTTGACATAAAGTCTGTTCTTGGCTGTTATCTCCACTAAGGTTTCACCCCTAGCAATATTTTGTTTATAGCAGAGTGAAACGTGGGGAATTACTTGTTGTCCATTTGACCCACTGATTTTTGATTTTTAAATGATGTTTTCATGGCGTGGTCATATTTAAAAGAACAGATTTTTGAATTCCATGAAATTCTCAGCAATAACCATCTGCTAACGCCAGTCACAAGAGAATAGATTATCTAGATACCACTGTGTATAAAGAAGATTCGAAAGCAGAAACAAAGAAACTGATATTCACAATACAAGTACACTCGCTCATTGCCCATTATCTTGGCCAGAAAAATTTTCTCATGTCTATGTAATAACAAAAGTCGCACAATTATTCGATAAGAACAGAACTTAAATGACAACCTTGTTCATTACAAACTAAGTCAATCAGTTTAATAGATCAAACTAACCTTACGTCAATATTTAATCATAATTAGCTATCCAGCCGATCTACACCACTTCTTGGGAGAATCAAACGCTCGCTCGAGTGTTCAAAAGTTTCTATTTGTACAGAATAATGAGAATTCAATATTCATAAAAACCATTTTAACATATAAATTAATTCATTTATATTCAAGAGCATTTTTATTCGATTTATATACGGACGCCTACTGCAATGCTGATAACAATC